CGAGGCCAATTCAGGTCGTCATTCTCGCAAGAATCGTGATCTATAGCGGTATTCGGCGACCGTCTAGTATGACTTAGCAATTCTGCTTTGCGCCGCCTGAAACCTCTCCGTGACTCGTATACCCTAAATAAGCGGCCTAGGAAACATACGAAACAAAACCCCTATCCCCACTCCCGAGCCTCCCCAAAGGCCGCCAAAGTAACTCTGTCCACTCTGGCAGTCCGGGATGTCCGCTCTATTTTAGCTTATCTGTCGATAAACGTTCAAGAAGGTAAGCCACTTTTGGTCGTCCGGGTATTGGCGAACCAAAAGCCGGACTTATCCGCTCTCAACGAGACCTGTTTCCCCAAGAAGGGACGACTGGGAGATGTGGGCGACAAAATGCTGGGGTCGCTTTGGTCTCAGGAACGAAATCATGAGACGACTACTTTGCCTGCCGCGGGCGACCTTCTCATGACACCACGTCTGTCACTATGCAAGAAACAAATTTGCCATCCTCGCCAGTGCCTACCCTCTGCCCCCCCTCCCCTCCTCCCCCCTCCCCCCGTGATCGACTCCGATGGCCTGAAGAACAAATTTTACGAGGACCTGCACGCCCTCCTCGCGACTGTGCCGGCGACGGACAAACCGATTGTCCACGGTGACTTCAACGCCTGCGTAGACAGAGACCACGATACCGGAGCGGGAGTCCTCGGTCATTACAGGACCAGTAGCTGTAACGGCCATGGTAGTCGCCTCTTGCAGGCCTGTACGAAACAAAATCTTCAACTGACCAGCAATTTCTTCCACTTTCTGATCCCAGAGAAGAGTACGTGGATACGCCCTCGCTGACATCATTGGCAGTTGCTGGACTACGTCCTAGTGTCTAAGGAAATGTGTGCTGCATACTGCTGGACGGATCACTGCCTGTACACCTTGATGATTAGGCAGCAGCCCCGAAGGAACCCAAAAGGTAAGCGGGTACCAGATAAGTCAAATATTATTGGATACGACCGAGTGTCGTTTTGATTCCACAATCCCCGGAATCTCGTCTGGAACCAATGCGAGCTCCGGAAACGAATGTCACTGGTGAGATTCACGGGAATCGACTGCTGAAGGCCATTTCGTTCACTGTCCTGGATTTGCTCGTTTGCGCAAGCAGTCAGCACAGGAGCAGGTTTAATGAAAACAACGAGTAAATCTGCAGTCCTCTCTCCAAAGAGAATGGCATGTTGCAATAAAATGAAGAGGTTCGCGTCTCTCAGGAAGGTCTGCGGTTGACAAACCAACGTACACTTCGGATGCATCCTCAGTCGACCATCCACAATACCCGACGAGGTCATTAAAAAGCTCCTCAGATGAAGGCTCTAGACCGCCTGCCCTCGCTGCTAGAGATCGTCAAGGCTATACGCTAGACGTTAAGTACTGGAAGCTGGGGCGACCGCTGCAGAGTAGCTACTGCCGAGACATAATGTCGCAGACAACACATGTACTCGGATTGTGTCATTGTGCCCCTTTTGTCAGTGAACATTATGGGAACGGATGGACCTCGCTAGACTCAGTGTATTGTCAACACGATCAAAACGTCTCTCAGTTAGCGAAACATCACTACAGTTACCACCACCACCACCACCACCACCACAACCACCACCACCACCACCACCACCACCACCACCACCACCACCACCACCACCACCACCACCACCACCACCACCACCGGCAAATTGCTAATGAATTCATTTCTAGTAAAAGTAAATTTGCACGGTATTTATCGCACCCACTCCTCTCTCACCCACCTGGGACCGGTGCCAACACAAAGGCAGAAAGACCGGAGGTCGGAGTTAGACGTAGTGGTTAAAAGGATTAAATGATCCGTCTACGCGTGTCGTACGCGTGATGCACCAGGTTTTTGCAGAAAGGAGATGGCTGCGGCTCGAAGCCCACCTAGATGGGAGTGCCATAGGTGTCACATTCAGTCCACGATCCGATCACTCCACATAGACACAGGGCTGACTGTGAAGTCTGAGTCGTTTCCTCAATTAGCAACCTTCTAATTCATGGCTGTTACGGTATCGTGACAGTTTAAAAGCGCACCAGATTGCTTAGAGTGCAGAATATGCGCTGAGTATCGTGAGCCGGATTCCCCAATTTAACCTCAATCCCTCTTCACTCTCCTAGGGACCAGTCTGCCGTCCGAGCCGTTCAGTTACCTGATGCAGGGATTGGACGCAAATGGCCGACAGCTGAATAGTCTGACACTGAAGACGGGAATGACGGGTGTATAACGGGGCTCCTGATTCCGGTTTGCAGAACTTTTATTGCGTCGAATTCGTAAATAACCGACCAAGCCAAGATGTGGTTCAAATGTGTGGTGGCGGTAACGATAGGGTAGGCCTACACAAAAGGAGATAGTGTTCGTGGCAGCGTAATTATTAGAGGCGTCGCTGGTATTTTAAATAGCGGTGCTGATTGTAGAAAGTTTTTCGGGTGCAGGAGGTAGGTGGGTCGTGGGGACATTCCAGCGAATCGCACTGTGCATACGCATCTGAGCAAAAACCCATCCGGTGTCTGAATGTCCTCCTGGGGCAGCGTGGGCGGGTCAGGCGTGTGTGACGAGTGTACGGCGAGGCTCATGGTGCTGGTTCGCCTATCCATATGCGATGGATTCGCAAATGACCGACCAGGTTGATGCATGACTCGAAGGTATGGTCGCAATAGAGACAGGTCGGGGCTGAGCTGGTAGAAGTGGCGGTGGTGATGATGGCCTGGAAGGCTGCAAACTGACGATACGAATCAAACCTCACCGCCAGTCATGTGTGTGTTCGTGAGGAGTGGCTGACTGGTGGACTGGTGGTGAAGGAGACAAATAGCCAGGCTGCAATGGCTTCCTTTGCATGTTGCCACTATGAGATCGTCAGTCGAGTGAGGTACCAGCAGCCCTTAGTGAAATCTGGTAGAGTCGAAGCGGGTATTGGGTTATGTGAATGGCGTGCGCAGACGGGCTGTCAGGCTTTGGCAGTCACTTCGCTGACTCCCACGTCCAGTCCTCTTGGTTGTGTCTTTTTATCGGAGCAAGGTGGATAAGGGAGAAGAGAGTGTGGCAGATGCTGTTCACGTCCGCCTCACTACAAACGGATTCACACGCGAGTCATCGCTGCGTCCACTCCTTGCGATTGGCGGTGGAGGTCGTTGCTTGAAACAGTCAGACTGTAGAGTATGAAATAACCTGAACTATTACCTGAATTGATCCCTTGACCCAGACGAAGGGTGGGAGCTTTAAGCTTATAAAGTGGTGACCCAACTCAGCTGTGGTCAAATTCCCCGAAATGACTAGGTCGTAAAGTAAGAATACGAGACGAACGAAAATGTGGTGCACAATCTATCTTCCAGACAGTTAACGGAACAAGAACTGAGAGTGCTGAGTCGTGAAGCCAACTTTAATACGGCAGATGCCAAACCAGCCGAATTTATGGCCACACTTGAAGCCATGTTGGTAAGAACCAACGCAACCGACGAGAGTAAACACACCGTACGCCAGAAAGTCACCTCCCTACTGCTGACGAACAGGCCCATCAATAATATGTCGCCCGCAGAAATAGAAGCAACGAACGAATTAAAAATGAACAAAGATATAATAGTGCTGCCAGCCGACAAAGGACGAGCAACCGTCGTGATGAACCGCGTCGATTACAACGAAAAGGCACAAGCCCTCCTTGACGACCAACAGTCCTACAAATCCACGCCTTCCTCGCGAGAAAAATCGATGATTGGTCAACTAACCGGACTCCTGAACAGACTCAAACGACACAGTGCTATATCGCTAGACGAATGACGACAGATGAAACCTACGGACACGGCACTGGCTCGGTTTTAGGGATTACCCAAAATCCACAAGCCGAATGTTCCCCTTCGACTGATCGTTGCCTTGAAAGGCAGCCCCACTTACAATCTATCGAAGTGGATGGCCCGAAAACGTAACTTTCTCCGAGAAGGCTCGAGAACCTCCGTCAATTCGGCATCCGAATTCCTGGCCGACATCCGAAGGAAAGTTGTCCGACCGGATCAGATTATGGTATCCTTTGACGCGGTTTCATTATTCACGTCCATCCCATCGGACCTGGCACGCGACGTTATTCGCAAACGACTCGAAGAGAATTACGACGAAACGAACACACCCCTAAAAATCGACCACTTACTGCAACTGTTTGCGTTCCGCCAACAAACCTTCTTCACTTTCAATGACAGAACATACGAGCAGATCAAGGGAACGCCAATGGGTTCGCCAATATCCAGCCTGGTTGCAGAACTAGTCCTGCAGGAACTGGAAAAAGTCGTCTTCGAGCACTATGAAACTGCATTTTGGCGCCGGCACGTCAACGAGACGTTCGTCATAATTGAAAGAAGCAGACTGTCCGACTTTCAAGACCTGCTGATCGGCATCTTCCCGGACATTCAGTTCACAAGGGAAGAAGAGCATGCCGAACAGTTGCCTTTCCTTGACGTTCTCGTCACACGCACACCCAAAGGCGAACTCAACACCACGGTGTACAGACAGGCGACTAACACGACTCAGATTCTCAACTACCACAGTAATCACCCAATGGCGCATAAACACGGCTGTGTTAGGACACTCTTCCAAAGGGTAAAAACGCACTGCAGTGAACCAGAGGGACGAGTACGAGAACTTCGGCATCTTCGGGACCAACTGGCAAGGAATGGATACCCCAACAGCTTCGTCAGCCGCTGCCTCCGCACGCGCCCACGGCGAACAAACAGAGAAGAGCCGCCAACACTCTGGCACCCTCTAACATATATAAAGAACGTGTCCGAAGAGATGGAACGTATCGCTGGAGAACTCGGAGTGGGTATCGCTCACCGTCCGACAGCGACCGTGCACAGCAAAATCATGCGAGTGAAGGGTCGCCTGGACGTGGGAGAACAGTCGGGTGTCGTCTATCAGATCCCATGTCGGGACTGCCCTCGCCACTACACAGGACAGACCGAACGACGACCTAGCTCACGAATAACGGAGCACAAACGGGCGGTCCGGAGAGGGGACCCGTTGTCTCAGATCGCCACCCACACCCTGGAGGAAAGCCACGAATTCAACTTTGCGAGCACGCGGATAGTAGCTTGAGCCAACAATAAGACAGGACGAGAACTGTTAGAGGCCTCGGTTTCTGACACCAACTCTATCAACAGGCACGTTCACATACCCCCCTGCTATCACGCGCTCCGTTCCCGCGGCCAAGAGACGAGACCCAATTTCCAGCCAAGGGTGCACGCAGTCACGCCACCGTGAGACGGCGTGGGGCTCAACTTATCGCGAATACCACCCCCTGCACTCATATCTCTCCCCCCTTCATGGCTTGACTATAAAAACCGCTCATTTTATGTCGCATTCTCACAGTCTCTGACGGTGGCCTCCTGTACGAGACCGAAAGCTCAGACTAATTCACTTAATGTCCCAGAGATGGTGTGTTCATCTTCTTTACAAAAATAATTAGTCCTCCTTGTTCTAGTGAAATAATTTAAGTAGGAGAGAATTCGAAGCACAAATAAGGCAAAAAGATTAGGACAGTTCGACCATCGTCACCGACAGTGAGCACCACGTGCTCCACAGGAGGTTGGGCGTAGGGACGGTAACTTGAGTGCGAATTAGTTTACAATGATAGTAGACTTGCTCAGCATCTGCTACACTTCATCCTCCTCTCCCGCCTGAACCCGGAGGCAAGATCTGGCGCAGGTGACCGGCGCGGCGTGAGACTGCGCCTAGGTCTGCTACCGCACCTCGCCATGAACGGCAGTTATTGTGGGTGCACTGCTCAATGATGCGTGCCACCGTTTTGGCCCAGCGCAATTCCCGTGAGACCGAATTATCGTGGGAAGTCCGGTCACCGATCGAATTACGGGGCATGCCGATCCTGTCGCCCCTTCAGGCTCAGTCTGAATCCCCGCAGGCAGTCGGACAGCATCAGACTTAAAGACGTTCAATGACAAAAGAATGCGCGCTCGGATCTTGGATTTCGCAGTATTGGTGTTGAATTTGGCTGGTTAAAGACTGCCAGTAATAGACACCCAAATCTCCTTTGTCTGTGTCAGAATTCCTCCCTCAAAGATCTAGTTGCTGATATCGTTTGCCCGTGTCCGGTTATTTGTGGACCAAACAGTCGAAATGTGGATCATCTGCGATTTTTTTCCCAGAATATTTGCTCAATATAGTTCCTCCTAAGAAATAATTATGCATTCAGTAGTTTGTCTTGGATTTTCTTAAGTAGACTTAGTAACAGTCTTCAGACCAGCTCATAAGCGTCATTAAATTATGATGGTAAAAACATTTGTGTTTCTCTTTTATAGCCTAGCCGGTGTCTGAGTTTTTTAATGATGGAGTAACCGCTTTGGAATAACATTTGGTGTCTTCATAAACGGAAGCTACTTCAAAATATACAGGCCTATTTGTGCCTGCGTGGGAGCCCGGCTTTCGAGCAGAGCGATTAGAACTATCCCCTCGTACACTGGAGGGCCACTGCGCAAGTTTTTCAATATGTTCAAACTAAGAACAAGAAAAGAGGACATGTGAAATAAACAGTATTTAGGTCGCAAATTTTGTTAGTGGTATGATGCTAGGGGACAATATTTGATGAGTCTGTAACACACCCTCTTGTTCTCCAGTAGCGATATTTTTATGCCCGACCCCATAGTCAGAGCGGGTTTTTGCTTGCGCTAATCTTCCCATAATTGGCTACCCTGCTTTCCTCATTCGAGCGTTGTCAACCTGCGCATCCACACACGACCCGGCCGGGTAATCGACCGTAATTCGTGCGTGAAGTGCCACCGAGTCGACGTACAGTGAGTGGCCGATCTCATAAAAAATGTTGACTGAAATTCTGAAATGCCTTTTCGATTAGGAAGGATTACTTAGGCGCGGTTGCAATGCTGATTATCATGCGACATAATGCTACAGTATTTCTGACTCGTCAGGATGTCAGCTCTCGAATATATTGTTTTTAAGACTCCTGTACAAACCGTACTGGGTAAAAAATGACTCCTTCATTGACATGCATTCTCCCCATTGATTTTCGATGGTCTTGTAAATTTAAATGTATTTTATAGGGACACCGAACAAAAATACACTTACTTTTAGTCCTTTAATAGAGACTCACGCCATCTTTATAGTTTATATCCGAAGGCGGAATATAATTTGATTTTGAAGAGCTTTCTAATTATGAGATTTTTAAGACCGCGCAATGTCAATTCAAATAGCATCTTACCTGTCCGTTTACCACTGCTTCTCATGAAATTTACAGCATAGTCCGCGTCCATTGCAAAATTTGCCGGACTCTACATAATATCTTTCTAAAGGCCTGGAAGAATGTTTAATTTTCTTTACGCGGAGCGTATGCACCTTGTAGACTGAAATCTCCAAGCGCTAATGCAACGACTGATCGGGCTCCAAATTATTCGGCAATAAGAAAACTTTTCAAAATCTAATTAAAATCCTTCTTCGAGAATAAAATATAAAGATGACGTGATTTACTGTCAAACGACTGAAAGAAAGTATATTTTTGTTCGGGGTTCCTATAATATATCTCTGAATTTACAAGACCATCGAAAATAACTGGGACAATGCATGTCAATTAAGTATTCATTTTTTCCGAGTACGGTTTCTACAGGAGATTGAAAAACTGTGTATTTAAAAGCTGACATCCTGACGAGTCCGAAATATTATAACATTATGTCGCAAGCTAATAAGTATTACAACCGCGCCTAACTAATCCTTCCTAATCGAGAAGGCATTTCAGAATTTCAGCCAGCATTTCTTGAGATCGGTCACTCACTTTAAATGATAACAGTTATCAGTATTTGACAAGACTTACTGCAGATAGTGTTAAAGTGCTTGAGATAGATGCCGGCAGTACTGGTGTGGTCATAACGCCTCGCCTGCACAATGTGCCTTGTAAGTCTAAGGTTAGACACACGTGGTCGGGGCGTCTCTTCTATTCAAAGACATTAACCTTTCGGCCGTAGAAGGTGCATTTGCCGGTGGCCTTTATGGGCAGCAGCTCTCATTGCAAACCCCTTGAACCGACGTGCTCCAAAAATAATTCATACTGTCTCTTTTTCTTCAACACAAGGTTAGTCTGCTATCATTATAAACATATTCACGAGCACGTCATCATTACTGCTCCTACCATGCTGTGGGGCACACCATGCACATCGTCGTGCCCGATGTTCGAGCCCGTAGGTCGCAGCAGAATGCGCAGTTAGAAAGCACGAGATTCCCTCTCCCTCGCATCCACTCAGTAACCAATATTGTCAATGGATTTTATGTCATTTGGCAAGATGCCCAGAACTACACATCCTCAAGTAATTTCCGCCTGGCGTAGCAATTTGTCTCGGATGTCTGCGTAGAATAGGTAGCTTATGAACAAAAACCAAGCCTCGGACCTACCAGCTTCTTGGGCGCCGCCTTTGCTCGCTGCAACGCTCTCTCAATGCGCTCCTCCTGGTATTGGTGTTCCAACTCCTTGACCTCCATTCGAACGCGTTCCCGACGAGCCAGTTCCTTCTCTACTCTCACTGCTTTCACCAAATCGGGCGGATATTTCCTCAGTTTTTCATACAGTTCCTCAATCTCTTCTTCTATTGCAGTTAGCATTTGGATGGAGCTGAAGGACGATTATGAAGAGGATATAAAGTTAGGAATACATGGCCTCAAGTTTTTCGGTTGAATAGTGTGATGAAAATGTTATTTCCCAGGATTTCCCTTGAAAGGCCACGTAAGATTTGGAAGTCTAGACACACTGGTAAAACTAGCTGAATCACTCGTCCCTCTTATAGACCTGTTCTTAAACTCGAGGCAGTAAAAGAAAAGAAAGAAACTCCCTAACTTTACTGACGAGGGTTGCCCAACTTTCGGAGATTCAGTTGGTTAAGAACTCTTCAGTTCTTATTAGTTCTCGTCGAAATTTGGTAGACGGGAAGAGATTAGAAATACATAGCTGCCTTAGGCTCCCAGAGGTATTTGCAAAAAAAGAGGTCGAGTGAAAGAGTTTTAGAAAACTAATGACAGATAGAAAAGGACAGATCAGTTGGTAAGATGAGTTACCTCAGGGATGTACCATCCTTTCGGATGCACTCCTTGTAAACATCAGAAATCTCAGTGTGTAGCTTCTCCAGAGCTTCCATCTGTTCCTTAGCACTGATTTCGCCACTTGAGGAAGGGCTTGGAGGAAAAAGGAGGTAAGGGCGTACACTGTGCTACTGTGCTGCATAATCTGAAGCAGATCATAGAACGATAAACGGGACAGAAAGACAAGTACTTTTAATCGCAAAAATTAAGAACTCTTACTGAATGAGGCCTTTCAGCTCCTCCACGCGTTCGTTTTCAGCGTTCAGCAAGGCTCTCAGTCTTTCGATCTGCTTGACAAGCACTCCCGTTTCTCTTTCGCTGTAAATAAAAATCGCGGGTGTTTGAAAGTAGTTCGCTCCCCTCAAGGGGCCTTTCATGTACAATTTCGTTTTCATAACTAAACGGCAGCGTCCGCAGTAGTTCTCACCGGTCACGAGGGGCGAACCCTGAGCTACACAATCTCTCTTGCCAATTTAAACAGTCAGTACAAAGAGGAGATACAAACTGTTCCTCACCCTACTATCAAGTAACCTGAGTCGGTATCTGGGAAATCATTAGTACGAGGGTCGAATTTTAATTAAGTGTAACGTGTGTGCCTCAACTCCGAAAATACCGTGAATGTAGAACTCGGAGATCAGAATGAGAGCTAGAACGTTCTAAATTTAACAAAACTTT